GGGGGAGGGAGGGGCTGCGGCAGTTTGGGATCCTCAAAGACCTCGAGTCCCCTGCCGCGCAAAATGCACGATTTAGACACAATCCAACCAGAAAAGTCCAAAGATGTTTCTCGAACCTCCAGACTCAGACCCAGGGCAGAACCGCGGGACGATCCGGAAGCTGGGAGACCCCTGCGTGCTAGCAAAGAGGCTTCTGGGCTGCGGGTTCCACAGGTCGAGGGAGGCCTGAAGCCGCGCCCCGCCGGGTGCGGAAACTCGGGGTGAGACCTGGGAGGCCCGGTGCAGCAGGGAAGCCGCGGGGGAAGGTGGAAGGAGGAAGGGGAGGCAGTCCCGGACCCCGCTTCCTGCCTCCTACCTGGGTAGGGGGTCCCACTGGCAAAAAGAATGCCACTCCCGGCGAAGGCCTCCGCCGCCCGACCCTCCAGGACTGAGGCTCCGACTGGGCGAGGCTGGCGGCCTGGAGGCGGCTGCAGGGGAGGAAGTGGGGACGGCGTCCAAACGCATCTGCCCCCGACGCCTCCTCGGCGGCTGCACTGCGTTTAAAGGAGTTCTCCTCGCAAGGAGATTGTTCGTTATTTTAAAAATTCAGAAAATACAAGCACTGAAAACAAAAGGCATCCCAAGTTCGACTACCTGGAGAAGCCAGAGTTTCCGTTTGTTTTTGAGACAGGGTCTGCTGTGTAGCCCAGGCTGGAGTGCAGTGGCGCGATCAGGGCTCACTGCAGCCTCCATTTCCTGGGCTCGACTGATCCTCCCATCTCAGTCTCCGAGTAGCTGGGACTTCAGGCGCGGTCACCACGCCCGGCTAGTTTTTATTTTTTGTAGAGAAGGGGTGCTGTATGTTGCCCAGGCTCGTCGTGAACTCCTAAACTCAAGTGGTCCTTCTGCCTCGGCCTCCCAAAGTGTTGGGATTACAGGCTTGAGCCACTGCGCCCGACCAGAGTTTTTGATAAAGTTTTCCCCCTATGATATATGTATTTTTTTAAACAGGCACTGCATCGCCAAGGCACGAAATTCGAACGTATAACCGGTAGAAGATGGAAACGCTCCCTCCCCTCCGGCTTAAAAACGGGAGGTGAATGGCCAGGCGCGGTGGCTCACGCCTGTAATCCCAGCACTTTGGGAGGCCGAGGCGGGCGGATCACGAGGTCAGGAGATCGAGACCATCCTGGCTAACACGGTGAAACCCCGTCTCTACTAAAAACACAAAAAATTCGCCGGGCGAGGTGGCGGGCGCCTGTAGTCCCAGCTACTCTGGAGGCTGAGGCAGGAGAATGGCGTGAACCTGGGAGGCGGAGCTTGCAGTGAGCTGAGATCTGGCCACTGCACTCTGCACTCCAGCCTGGGCGACAGAGTGAGAAAAAAAAAAGAAAAGAAAGGAGGTGAATGTACTGAGGGAGAAAAGTGCAAATTTAAGAGTGCAATCGGAGGAATTTTGATAAATGTACACACCTGTGTAGCCACCACCCGAATCCCCCATTTTTTAAGAAAGAAAAATGCCTACATAGACGCCTAAACTATTTAAATCCAGGGACCTAGTGCCCCCTTCTTCCTCCCCTTCCCCTGCCCCGCCTCTTCTCCTCCTCCTGGTCTTTATTTGTACCAGAGCTCCTCAGCACACAATTTAAAGTGTCCTCCACTTCTACAAAGAGCATAAACCACTCCCAGAAGAGAATCTTCCTTCCACCCCCACCAGAGGACACAGCTGTCAACCCTGCCAGCTCTTTCTGTTCCTACCTGCCTCTGTATTTCTAAATAGGACGCTTTTGCCATGATTGTTTGACACATTTTTTCGGTTCTTTCTTTTTTAAAAGGAATCTATCAACTGCCTATGGCCTGTCTGGAAGGTAGGAAGTTCACTTGGTCACATGCCACTCAAAAGCACTCAGGGCCCTTCCCTCCCTCTCTCCCTTGGACTGAGCTGAGACGGGTCCTAGTGCTCACGGTGGCTTCCCATGAACAGCCTGCACAGCTGGGCGTGCGCTGCGAGCACATGTTTGTTCTATACTAGTGGCCTTTTCCCCTTGGTTTTCTATGGTCCTGTCATTCATCTGTCCCCAAGCTCCCTTCCAGCATGCTGCTGTCGGCTGGAGGGAGTAGATCCCCAGGGACCCCACCACATTGAGTGGGGAGGTGAAGGGCAGGCCGGCCCCCTACAGGAACCTCCTATTTCCAGCTTCCTCTGGATCCCGCTTTCAGAGACCAAGTCCAGAGGCTTCTGTGGATCAGCAGGCAGTTTGGCTCTCACTCCCAGCCTCTCACACTCCCCAGGCCCTTCCCGCCCCCACGTGAACCTCCTCAGCTGTGGTGGGTGACATTCTCAAAGATACTTGAGCCTTTCTTTGTGACTTCTGGGTCACATTTCGTTCCCAGTTCACACCTGCGAGGGCAGACGCATTCCCGACCACAGGCTGAGTGTCTCCAAGGGTCCTGGCCACATCACCGGGCTGCAGAGTGTCCTGGAGGGAGAATCCTTGACCAGCCTCCAGGAGGCTCTCACTGAATGAAGCCCTGCTAAGTGCCAGGTGAGAGAACCTTCCGGACCTCTGCCAGGACTCCTGCACTTGGTGGCTCATCCGGCAGCTGGCCATCTGCCCAGGGCACTCACCCCGAACCCCAGGCTCTGCTAGGAGACCCCCGCCCCCCGCCCCCCACAGTCTCGGGTCCACCCATCATTGCCTCCCTTGCATTCCCTGACGTCATGGCTGTTTGTCGTCTGACTTTCTTGTGAGACTGTGAGACTGTGAGCTCCTTGGGGACAAGATTCAGGCTGTGCCATCCCAGCAAACTACTCAGGGCTGCAGAGGTAGGCATCATCACTGATAAACAGGTGAATGAGACAGCAGCTTCATCCTCACCGCCGCCGCTCAGTGGAGGTCAGCCTTGCGTGGCCAGTTAGCTGAGGCTTGAATCCAGGTCTGTAAATTGAATCTAACAGTGTGGGTCTTCCTGGTCTGTGATGAGGCTGGAGCAGGAACCTGGCTCACCTGCATGGAGTCCACTGGGAGAGGGCCTCCAGGCACTGGGGGAAGCGGAGGTGGGGCATGGGCGTCACTCCTGTTCTTGGCTAAGGGATGGTTGACTGCTGGTGTCTGCTGTGTGGGGACTCACTGTACTTATAAGGACACCTGTGTTTCGTGCATAAGAAGGATGTGAGGGAAGAAAGAAGTTGAGTGCTTCTCATGTGCTAGGATTCCCATTGTTCACTGAAATTGTTTTCAGTGCATACTTCTGTATTTGCAGATTTAATTTAGGATGTAGAATGTATCCCTCTCTGTGATTATAGCTACAAAGTAGTTTGAAGTGTGCTGGATGATGTTGGACTTACTACTGTTACTTTAGACTTCATGTTTTTTTTGTTTTTTTTTTTTGTTTTTTTGAGACGGAGTCTCGCTCTGTCGCCCAGGCTGGAGTGCAGTGGCCAGATCTCAGCTCACTTCAAGCTCCGCCTCCCGGGTTCCCGCCATTCTCCTGCCTCAGCCTCCTGAGTAGCTGGGACCACAGGCGCCGCCACCTCGCCCGGCTAATTTTTTGTGTTTTTAGTAGAGACGGGGTTTCGCCGTGTTAGCCAGGATGGTCTCAATCTCCTGACCTTGTGATCCGCCCGTCTCGGCCTCCCAAAGTGCTGGGATTACAGGCTTGAGCCACCACGCCCGGCCTTAGACTTCATGTTTTGAATGTTTTTCTTTATATTGTACTTAGGAAATAGGGTTCTCCAAAGAAAGAGAATCAATAGAAGAGTCAGACAGACGGACAGACAGACAGGGAGTGTGTATGCAACTTAAAGAAATTGGCCCACATGATCGTGTGGCCTGGCAAGCCCAAAATCTGTAGTGCAGGTTGGCAGGCTGGAAGTTCAGGCAAGAGCTGATGTGGCAGTGTTGAGGACAGATTCCACGGGGAGCAGGCTGGCAGCCCAGGCAGTGTTTGTGTTGCAGCCTGGAAGGGAATTCCTGCTGCTTCTGGGAACCTCAGTGTTTGTGCTTCAGGCCTTCAATTGATTAGGTGAGGCCCACCATCCAGTGGCCGGTCATCCGCTTTCCCCAGAGTACATTGATATTAATCCCACCTCAGAAATACCTCCATACCTCCAGACATCTAGACTGGAGTTTGACAAACAGCCGGGCACCACAGCCCAGCTAAGTCGGCACACAGCATAACCACCGCAGGTGTCCAGGCCTCGGTGTGAAATTTAACACCCCTCCTTGATATAAACACACAGGAATGTCCCAGCAGTGATATTTTCACTGGCATTATGGCAAATGTGTGCCTTGATTTGAGCAGGCTCTGTGAGTGTCAGGCTCTTCATCCCATCAGGTTTCCCCTAGCTCCAGCCTGTGTGGGGCCCGGGCCCTGTTGGTGGATAGAGCCCAGCCCTGGGCACAGCTGTTACCCTACAGGGCTGGCCAACAGCCCCTGAGTCCTTCCCTGGAGGTGTAGCAGGATCTGCCAACCCCTCACTGCCAGGCTGCAAGCTCCTGGAGGGCAGGGACGTGTGCCCTTCACATCAGGCCTCCAGGACCCATTCGAGGCGGGGTAAGACAGGGAGAAGTGGTGGGCGGGGATAGACAGCTGTTTCTCCCACACCATGAAGGGATCGGCAGGAGGGGACGGCAGGGTGGGGCCATGGTTCGGCTCAGGGCACACACTTCCTCTCAGGCTGGTTCAAGATGTAAAGGCAAAATCAAAAAGCTTTATAAAAAGATTAAAAATACTCATACATTTTTATCTGATCTCAAGGTGAGGAAAGGGGGGATCCATTCTTCCCCCCTCTTTTTTTTTGAGATGGAGTTTCACTCTTGTGGCCCAGGCTGGAGTGCAGTGGTGCAATCTTGGCTCACTGCAACCTCTGCCTCCCGGGTTCAAACAGTTCTGTCTCAGCCTCCCAAGTAGCTGAGATTACAGGTGCCTGCCACCACACCCAGCTAATTTCTGTATTTTTAGTAGAGACGGGGTTTCATTATATTGGTCAGGCTGGTCTTGAACTCCTGACCTCAGGTGATGCACCCGCCTTGGCCTCCCAAAGTGCTGGGATTACAGGCGTGAGCCACCACGCCCAGCCACATTCTCCCCTTTTGCCTTTTACTAATTGAACCCTTCTGAATTTCAGTTGGGCACTTAGCTAAAGACTACATTTCCCAGGCTCCCTTGCAGCTCAACCTGGTCACATGATGAGGTTCTGACCAGTGGGCATGAGATGTGCAGCGGGCAACATCTGGATAGATCTTTGTCTTCTCAGGAAGTTGGGTGACCCTCAGACTCTCTCCTTCCTGGCTGCCTGGAACGGGACTGTGATAGTCAGGTGAGGACAGTTTACTTAGAGCAAAGCAGAGCCTTGCATAGAAGGAGCCAGGTCCCTGGTGACCTGGGGCAGAGCTGTCCTACCCACTGGACGGTTTACCAGCTTCACTCATTTGTTTGTGAGAAACAAAAAAAACTTTCTGTCTTGGGTGAGCTACCATGACTTGGCTTCCATTTAAGAAATAGGATCCATATCCTAATACAGGAGGCCTTTGTAAACTGGGTCAGTCAGAATCTGTGTTTGGCTGCTGACAGAGCACTGGCCACAGCAGGAGGTGGGCAGCCCCGGGCTAGTGTGGCCAGGAACCCAGGGGGACTCCTTCTATCTTGCTTTTTTTTTTTTTTGCCATCCTTAGTGGATAGGTTTCATCCTCCAGGTCACAGAATGGCTGCTGAAGCACCAGCCCTCGCATTCCCCTTTTATTCAGGAATAAGGGGAAGGGCGAGAGGCAAAGGTGGGCCTCCTCTCAGCTTTTAGAGATAGCCCAGAAGCCTCTTTCACTGATTTCTGCTTTCGTCTCTCTGGCTACCCCTATCTTCAAAGAGTTCTGTTGCTAAAGCAGAAAGGACAGTATGTCTTGAGAGGCAACGTGGAAGCCTTGCACAGAGGGGAAAATTCACAAAAGAGAATGCTGTTAGCTTTGGCCACAAAGCACCAAAACCAGGACTTGTAAAGCCTTTCAGTGGCACCAGTGCCCAGGTTCTTCCCCAGCCCTGGGGGCTGACTCCCCATCTCCCCTGAGCTCAGACACAGGGGTGGGGTGCATCCTGTCCCCCACACCCAGGCCCCGGGCATGCAGCCTCCTGTGAGGCAGCGTGGTGCAGAGCAGGGAGCCCGGGCATTGGAATCAGACCAACCTGGAGGAACTCCCAGCACAGAGGACTGGGGTTCCCTGGCTGTGTGGCTTTGGGCAAGGCTCCCAACCTCTCTGATCCACCACTTCCTCATCGGTCACAGATGCTCAGAAAACAATAGCCAAGGTCCTTACAGCTGCTCCGCGACAAAGTGCAGTGGGGCAGATGTGGGGCGTGAAGGCCTGGGTTTCAGGCGGCTCCAGCGGGTTCCACGCCTCCCTGCAGCCGCATTCACTGGATGTCTGCCTTGCTGGCTGAGCCCATCTGTTAGTTTTCTTACAAATTGCCACTCAGTTGGCTTCACCCAAGGCCTGTTACCCAAAATAACGTGAGTGATTGCCCAGCGAATGCAGGGTCAATACTCATCACGCTCTCCTTGACCACAGCCCCTCGGAGCCAGGGCTGGGGCTTGGAGGAGTCAGGAGAGGTGGAGACCCTGGATTGCGCTCCCACCGCAGTGTCTGGGGACGAGAGGGGCTGCCTGCCTGGAAACCAGCTTGAGCCCTTTATGGTTTCCTGTTGGTGCCTCCTTGACACAGGGCACAGGTTCAAGGCCCTCCCGTCTCTACCTGGAGCTGTCTCCAGCCTGCTGCCCACCCTCGGGGCATGAGCGGAGGAACATGTGTCCCCACAGTGCCCAGGCCTGGGCTGCTGGTGGGAATGATGGTCTTTCCAGGACAGCAGGGAGGCCCACCCCACTGGGAAGCAGGAGGGAGAGTCCTTGGACTTGGGGGTTGGAGTTCAGGCTCTTGTTTTATGATGGCGAAATGGAGGCCCCGAGAGGCCCAGAGACTAACCCATAGGCCCGTGGCAGATTCGTGCCTGAGATGACCGTGGGTCCCAGGCCTCCTCTTTCCCTTCCAGGGCATCCTGGCCTGAGGCCCACGGATCCTTTGGTGATCCATGAGTGGGCCTCAGTGGGTCTTGTATCCAGCTGATGTGTCTGTGCTTTCTACAGAGGGCCCTTGGATGGCATCAGAGCTTACAGGGTGCCCCGACCGGTGATGAACCATGAGAGACCTTCTAGCAGTACCGTGCTGGCCGCCTTCGCTTCTCAGCTGCCCCTCGGGGCATGTTGTGCCCCACCGGGAGCCATGGAGGGAAGCTGTGGGAATGTCCACCTCTGCGTCCTGTCCTGTCAAGGTCCTGGGTCTCTCCCAAGCTGGATCTAGGTGGTCCCTGGGCGCAGGCTGTGGGAAAGAAAGCCTGGGATGGGAGTGGGGGCCATTCACAGGTCTTTTGTTCTGCCACGAAGACCCGAACCCTCTTCAGATCCCAGCCTGTCCTTCCCGTGTCGTAAGGGCCCCAAACCAAAGGGGGCCCTCAGGCTTGGGTCAGACACACAGGGTCTGGTCTCCATCCTCAGCAGCGATGGCTCCTTGGGCAGCTGGCTCAGGTACTCCAAGCCTCTGTTTTCGTGTTTGCAAATGGGAATGCCGTTCAGAATTCCAGAAGCCTGGAGAGTATCTGCCAGGGCCCCGCGCTAGGCACAGGGGCCCAGAAGTGGATTCCAGGGTCCCTGCCTGGGGGGGGGCCCAGTCCGGCCAAGGGAACAGCTGTGTCTGGAGAAGCAGTGTACTCTCTGGGGCACCCAGCACATGAGGGCACCGTCCTGGAGACCAGAATTCTGGACAGCGCTGGCGGCAACAGTCCCATCCTCTGAGGAGCCTGGGTCCAGCAGGAGCGATGCCAGATCCAGACCAGGAGCGGAGACCGAGTTGCAGGGTTGGGTGAGTGGAGTGGTGACGCCCTCCCGCGGGGAAGGGCAGGCGCTAACACTGGTGTTACAGGGAGACGGAGGGGCAGGTAGCCGGAAGAATATTCTGAACCGAAGGGATGGTGTGAACAAAGGCGGGAGGTGGGATAGGGTGTGGTGGAGGCGATCCTGGATGAGTCATGTGTTGTGGGGCGAGGTGCGGACGCTGTGGGAGCCTGAGAGGCCTGGAGTCCAGGCAGCTGGCCAGGGAGGGCAGCAGAGGCCAGGCCTGGAGGAGGGCACAGCCTCCACCCCAGCCAGGAGCCTGGGCTTAATCTTGCAACCCGAGGTCAGGGTAAGGGACAGTGCTTGGAGGGGCCACGATGGGCTTCAGCAGGGCCAGTGGGGACTGGGGTGGTCGGAATGGAGACAGCACCTCCAGGAACCCCACCAGAAGGAGTCGGGGCAGAGCCGACCACCCCAGGGTGGTGCCCGGGACGCCCACACTGTGCAGGGGCTCCCCACAGGCAGGTGGGTGCAGGCAGAGGTTGGCTCTGAGGGGTAGAAATGTGAGGGTCAGGAGAGTGCTGGGCTGAGCTTGGGGCTCCTGGGAACCCCCACCCTCTTCCCAGCAGTCTGCAACCTGGGTGGCCCGCCCTTCCACTCCTTACCCAGCCCCAGCCAGCACCCCATCTGCCTTCACTCATTCAGTCAGCAGACTCACTGTGTGCCCATCGGGTGCCAGGCTTGCCACGTGAGACACTCTTTGGCACACGGGTGGGCTTAGGGGGTTGTGGGACTGTGGGAGAAGGAGGCCCAGAGAAACCAACACCCACAGGGCTTGGGACACACCCATGGCCACTTCCTTTGTCACCTGCCCACCTGTGTCCCTCCTATCGGGTTCCCCTGACAGGAAGCAAGGGCAGAGAACCCTCATCTGAGGACTCCAGGCTGAGGATGGAGTTAAGTGACAAATGGTAGACCACACCCGATGCCTGTAGGGGCTGTTCCAACTCGGAGACCTCCTGTGAGGGTCCCCATTTCCTCTTGCCCCACCCAGCAAGGGCAGAGGCTTGGAAGAGAGGGAGAAAAATCCTGGGGGTTGCACCCATATGGGCCTGATGATAGTTGAAGACCGCACGCTGGGGCCGGGAGTCCCCAGGAGAGCTGCCCTGCGTGTCTCTGTGCGTGTCCTGGGGCTGCCAGGACCAACGGCCACAGGCGGCGGGTTTCAGACAATTGAAATATTTTCTCTGCAGTTCTGGGGACCACAAGTCTGAGCCCCAGGCGTCAGGAGGGCTGTGCCCCTCCAGAGGCTCTAGAGGAGAACCCATCCTGACCCCTCCAGCTTCTGATGGTCGCCAGCAGTCTGGGGCTGGAGGCCACAGGGTGCCAGCCGAGTGCCCACCTTCTCCTTGGCTTCACACTGCCCTCCCTCTAGTGAGTCTGTGTCCAAAGTTCCGTTTGTCCTCATACACCACTCAGCTTGGGGTAGGGCCCTGCCTGCATTTCAGCTTGCCTACCTCAGGAAGACCCTATTTCCAAATAAGCTCCCGTTCTGAGGTACTGCCGGCCAGGAACTCCCCATACACATTTTGGGAGGACACAGTTCAGCCCATGACAGCTGCCATGGTTGGACCCGTCTCACAACCTCATGAAAAGGCTTCATCCCGCGCTTCATACGCCCATTTCACAGATGGGAAGATCGAGGCTCTGAGAGAAGACATCCACGATGGAGCAGCGGGCAGGGGGAGGAGGCCCACATGTCTCAGCCGGGTCTCCACCCCCACAATGCTGCACTCTGTTCAGAGAGAAGGAATTGCTCCTGCCATAACATGAGCTGGACAGGAGACCCTCTGCTGGATACAGCCCACCTTTTCACAGAGGGAATATTTTTCTCTTCGTAGTTGGAAGGTGAGGCTTTGGGCGCTGTGCACAGAGGGCCAAGTGTCGGGGACTACAGGCCCTTCCCTTGGACAGCAGCCTGTGGTCTTCGCCAACCAGGAAAAGCCCTTACAGTGTCTCCTTGCTACTTGCCCTGGGGTAATCTTCTGACCTGGGTTGGGTGTCAAGCGTGTTGGCATCTTGCTTGGTTCTAGTGGCCTGCAGATCTGTGTTCCTACAAGGCGTATCTGAAAAAAGGGGGACTGGGGAGCCTGGTTTAGGTTGGTCTAGAGCAGCTGGCACCTCCAAGCCTGCCTGGAGCAAGTGCCAAGCTATGGGCCCAGCTCCATCCACATGCTGTGTGACCCAGGCAACTTACTTGTCTTCTCTGGCCTCAGGTTTCCTATTTGTAAAACAAGGGGATTGAATTAGGACATTCCAAGTACTCCGCCCAGATAAGTAAAAAACAATCATAAAATTTCCACAAACTCTGTATTTCCATTTTATCAAAATATCATAGGCTTTAAGGTGACATTGTCCAATAGAAACTATGACTGCGAACCACATATGTGATATAAATTTTCTAGTAGCTACATTAAAGAAGAAACAGGTGTAAATAATTTCATCCAACATGTTCAAAATCATGTCAGTATGCAATCAATATAAAAATATTAAGATGCTTTACATGTTTCGGACTCTCTTTGGAGAGCACAAAAGCATGCATTTTTTACTTACAACACATTTCAATTCAGATGCTGAAATTTTACTGGAAATACTTTATCTGAATTTAGCTATCGTAACATTTACAGTTGAGAAAGCAGATTCTTAGACAGAAGTTGTTCCAAACATACTTCAATATTGTCCAGTAACTGAATCAAGTGTCGAGTTTTAGATTCAAAATTCGGTTCGCTGAGCTCAGATGTCACCCTGGACCTGGTGCTCCAGGGATTCGGAGCCTGTTCCAGTTACCGTAAAACCTAGAGTATAGGGAACTCTTTGATTCCAGGTCAACTTAATCCAGCCGCTCTCAGCTCAGGTCCTCTCCAGAGCCACTCCAGCCTCCCCCGAGGTTCTTCCTATCCTTCCCATTCCCCTGTTTCTGAATCCTGTTTCTTTATTCTTGTGTCCAGAAAGCAATTACAGAGTACCAACTATATGCAGGATGTAATGAAGGAGGCGGTATAGTCAGGGCAGGTCTCATATCCTGGAAAGACCACAGTTCCAGGTTCGTATCTGAACACCGCCAGCTCCACGGGAGCCTGTTTCCACATCTGTGATCTGGGAGCCCTCAGCCCTGAGCAGAAGCATCTCTGTGGGGACACAGAGGGGCGGTGTGCACGTGTCCAGTGTCTGGCCGATGCTCCTTCAGGCCTGCCTGCACTCAGGACAGGAGTTCTGCTGGGCCCAGCACCTTCTGAGGAGCAGGGCTCAGTGGCTTCCGTCTGTTGGCCGCATCCCGTGATAGAAATAGCTCTTTGCAGATGTGGCTTCACCATGAACAGCATTTCTTAAACCACATTCCCAGAAGCATCTTGCTCCTCCTGGTGTGAACCAGGAATTCTTAAGTCAAAGATAATCTTGGGAGACATCAGATCAAACGAAGCTCAGTGGCTTTTTAAATTAAATTAATTAAAAAAAAATTTTAAGACAGAGTCTTGCTATGTTGCTCAGGCTGGACTGGAGCTCCTGGGCTCAATCCTCCCACCTCAGCCTCCCGAGTGGCTGGGATTACAGGCATCCCTCACCACGCCTGGCTCAATGGCTTTGTACTTTTATTTGCAGACTTTCTCAGAGCCCTTGATGTGACAATGCAAATGGTCAGGGAATTCCCACTTAGCCAGTGTGTCAGCAACCCTGGACCTGGCACTTTGAGACAGGAGCTGAATCATACTCATTCCTGTGTCCCATGTCACTTTTGCACACAGGGAACCCCTAGCTGGCACCCTGCCCTCAGGGGGTGCCTGGCAGTGGCCACTGATGAAAACATGGGCTAAAAAGCACTAAAACAACAACATGCTGGAGATCAGGGGAAGGGCCAATTATTTTCAATCAGCAGATCCAGGAAGACTGCCTGTAGGAGGAGACATTGGAACTGAGCATGAAGGATGGGCCTAGAGACCAGGGTAAGGGGTTCTGGGTACACGAAGGGGGCATTCACAAGCCCAGGAGGAGCTCTGTGTATGGTTCGATGCCCACTGGGGTGAGGGGTGAGAGGTTTGGGGTTTGGGGTGTGGGCAGGGGAGTGTGAGAGGTGGAAGAGGCAGGAGACCTCCTCAGGACTCATGGGGCTGCAGGTGGCACTTCACCCTGTGGTCAGTGCCACTCACCCCAGGGCCACTGCATTGGAATCCCAGGGGAGCCTGTTACACCTGGGCTCCCAGCTTGGTCCTACTGCACCAGTTTCTGGGAGTGGCAACCCCTACGTTGACAAGTTCCCAGGGGAGTGCTAGGTCCCTGTAGTTTGGAGACCACTCTGTGAGCCAGGTTTGGGTTTTGAGCCATGTGGCTGGCAGTGGAGCATCACGGATCAGCTGACACCTTGTGCAGACATGACTAGTGCTCCCAATACCTGATTTTCCTCCCCTGCAGGCACACAGAAGGTTACACCTCAGCCTGTGCAGCGCAGGGAGGGGCAGGTGACCGGCACTGATAAATTCAAAGTGAACAGAAGTGACAGAGGGAGCCTCAGGATGGTGGAGAAGGCCACAGGGACTGGATGGTGCAGCCACAACATGGTGGAGCCTTCGTCAGCCTGGATCCCCGAGTGACCACGTGGAGCAGTGTTCCCACAGGGGGCACTCAATGTGAGCAAGAAATAAACCTTAGTGTGTGCACTTACCTGGATTGTGTTTGTTACTATTGTGTAACTTAGCCTATTATGCTGAATGCACACTCATTCCCTTTCAAATGGGAAGTTTAACCCAGGGGGCACACTGTTAAATGTTTGTGGACACAAATTTTGAGCACTTAAAATAGATCACATTCCCTTGCCTTTTCCCTTCTCTCTCCTTCCCCTCCCTCCCTCCTGGGTGGCAGCTAGCCTCTCTACCAATCTTTCTGGAAATTACGAAAAGGCTTGCCTGCAAGCCCATGCAGTTTTGGGCTGTTCAGCTTGATGAGTAGTGAGCAGAGTGAGCTGAACTTCAGCCTTGACCCACTGCCTTGACCAGGCACTTTTGAGCAGTGCACAACCCACACAACAGCCCAGGGTGACCCAGCTATTCATCCATCCCCAGGCCCTGAGTTGGGCTCTGCAGGTTCAGAGAGCAGAGGATGCTCTGTATGCCTCAAGGAGCTCGCTTTAGGGGAAGCAGACGGGACGTAGAATAGCCCTCATTCTGGTCAGCATTGAGGGAGGGATGTCAGGGTGCCTCTGACCAGGGGAGGTGGCGGGGGCAGCGCACACTGTGAGAGGCGGGCTGTTCAATGTCTGACGTGTGGGACCTCCAGCAAGCAGATGGAAGGGGTGAGGCGAGGAGAATAATGATAAATCATAGCTAGAACCTTCTGGACTCTTCTTTGCTAAGAGGCGCTAAGCAGCATTTGCTGCTGCCTAGGGGTCATTACTTCTGGATTCGTCCAGGGGGACACTGTGAGGTTGGGGTCTTGGCCTCAGAAGGCCCTTTCTCTCCACCCACCTCCGCACCTGCTGTACCCATCTGTCCCTGGCATCATAAGGATGAACATCCAGCCCAGGGCGTGGTGCAGCCGGGGGCACCCTGCACAGCCAGCCCAGGCACAAGGCAACAGGACCCCTCAGCATCTCAGACTCATCTCCACCCTCCTCATTTCCCAGTTGGGAAAAAATTCTTCCATTGATCCACCAACATTTATTGGGGGCTTCTTTTTTAATAATAGTTTTATTGAGATATAATTCACATACTGTAAAATTCACCCTTTTAATTATACAATTCAGTGTTTTTAAAGCATATTCATAGAATTGAGGTGTAACCGCCACCCCACTTTTAAATTTTAGTATCTAATTTTAGAGGATTTTCTTTTTTTCCTTTCTTTCTTTTTTTTTTTTATATTATTATTTTTTTGAGACGGAGTATCACTCGCCCTATCACCCAGGCTGGAATGCAGTGTTGCAATCTAGGCTCACCACAACCTCCACCTCCCTGGTTCAAGCGATTCTCCTGCCTCAGCCTCCCAAGTAGCTGGAATTACAAGTGTCTGCTGACAGCCCAGCTAATTTTTTTATTTGTTTGTTTGTTTTTTAGTAGAGATAGGGTTTCACCATGTTGGCCAGGCTGGTCTCAAACTCCTGATCTCAAGTGATCAACTCGCCTTGGCCTCCCAGAATGCTGGGATTACAGGCATGAGCCACCACACCCGGCCTCTTTTGTCTTCTGTTTTGAGGCAGGGTCTTGCTCTGTCACCAGGCTGGAGTGCAGTGATGTGATCTCAGCGCACTGCTGCCTTGACCTCCTGGGCTCAAGCAATTCTCCCGAGTAACTGGGACTACAGGCACACATCAGTATGCTCAGCTCATTTTGTTAAATTTTTAGAGATGGGGTCTCACTATGTTGTCCCGGCTGGTCTTGAACTCCTGGACTCAAGAGATCCTCCCACCTCAGGCTCCCATAGTGGTGGGATTATAGGCATGAGCCACTGCACCGGGCTTAGACCACTTTCATTACCCCCCAAAGAAACCCCATACCCCTTAGCAGTCACCCACCTTTTCTCTCTACTCCCAGCCCTGGCAACCACTAATCTACTTATATCTCTATGGATTTGCCTATTTTGGACATTTACGTAAATGGAATCACTTTAGTGGCCTTTTGTGTCTGGCTTCTATCATTTTGTGTAATGTTGTCAAGGTATGTAACAGCATTTCATTCTTTTTTATGGCCAAATAATATTTTGCTGTATGGATAGTCCTCTTTGTCCATTCATCGGTCGGTGGACATTTGGGTTATTTCCACTTTTTTGGCTATTATAAATGATGCTGCCGTGTATACACATGCACGCTTTTGTAAGTTGACAATGTTCTCAGTGCCCTTGGGCAGATACCTAGGAGCGGAATTGCTGGCTCATGTCATAATGCTCTGTTTTTGAGGAGATGCCTGACTATTTTCCAAAGTGGCTGCACCATTCTACTTTCAGCAATGTGTGAGGGTTCCCATTCGTCCAGATCTTCACCAGCATTTGTTATTATCTGCCTTTTTTTATTCCAGCTGTGATCATGGGTGTGAAGTGATATCTAATTGTAGTTTGATTTGCATTTCCCTAATGACTAATGAGAATGAATATCTTTCCATCTATTTATCTGCCATTTTTATATCCTTTTTAGAGACATGTCTATTTGAATCCTTGGGCTATTTTTAAATTGAGTTATTTGTCTTTTTATTGTTGGGTTGTCAGAGTTCTTTATATGTTCTGGATACAGGTTCTAAATGATATATGTGTGTTGCAAATATTTTCTTCCATTCTTTGTGTCATCTTTTTACTTTCTGGATGGAGTTCTTGGAAGTAAAAAGCTTTACACTAATTTACATTAATTTTCAGGTAATTAATAACAATGGTGACTGTCCCGTGCCAGAGTAGTGTACGTATTGGCCCATATAAACTGCACATCAACCCATGAAGTCAGGACTCCCATTGTCTCCAGGCCATAGCAGAGGAAACAGGAATGCAGAGATCAAGTAAGAGGCTCCAGACAGTGAACCTAATACAGACAGAAGCAGGGCCTGGACCTGGCATCTGGTTCCAAGCTCTGGCTCTTCACCACCACACTGTCGGGGCTCTGCATTGAAGCCTTCACCATTCAGAGGAGACAGGAAGGTGGGCTTGTAGTTGTACCAAGAAGCATTATTGCCTCTTGCAAGCATCGGGGATCTTCAAGGGAGGGATAGTTATCTTCCAGGAGTGGAGCATCAGAGGATGGGCTCCCAGGCTCTTGGCAAACAATGATGTTGCTGGGCCTCACTACATCCTGGATGCTCATGTATGGCTGTCATTCCCTCATTAAGGAGGCCATATGCCCCACCGCCATCATCTCTACCACATCATCATCACCACCACCATCATTACCACCACTATCAACACCACCACCATCATCACCACCAGTATCACCACCACCACCATCATTACCACCACTGTCACCACCACCATCATCACCATCATAATCACCATCACCAGTCATCATTACCACCACTATCACCATCACCACCATCATTGCCACCACTATCACCACCACTGCTATCATCACCATCATAATCACCATCACCATCACCACCATAATCACCATTATCACCATCATAGTCACCATCACCATCATCACCAAAATAATCACCATCAACACCACCATTATCACCATCACCATCATCACCATCATAGTCACCATCATCATCATTACCACCACCATCACCACCACCACCATCACCACCACCACCATCACCACCATTATCACCATCACCATCATCACCACCATAATCACCATCACCATCATCACCACCGCCATCATTACCACCACTATCAACACCACCACCATCATCACCATCATAATCACCATCACCATCATCACCACCATCATCACCATCACATCATCGCCACCATAATCACCACCACCATCATCACCATCATCATCATCACCATCATTATCACCGTCATCACCACCACCATTATCACCACCACTATCAACACCACCACATAATAATCACCATCACCATCATCACCACCACCATCATTACCACCACTATCACCACCACCACCATCATAATCACCATCACCATCATCACCACCATAATCACCATCATCACCACCATTATCACCATCACCATCATCACCACCACTGTCATTACCACCACTATCAACACCACCACCATCATCACCATCATAATCACCATCATCACCATCACCATCATCACCACCATTATCACCATCACCATAATCACCATCACCATCATCACCACCACTGTCATTACCACCACTATCAACACCACCACCATCATCACCATCATAATCACCATCACCATCATCACCATCACCATCATCACCACCATAATCACCATCACCATCATTACCATCACCATCACCACCATCATTATCACCGTCATCACCACCATCATCGCCACCACCATCATCACCACCACTATCAACACCACCACCAACATCACCATCATAATCACCATCACCATCATCACCACCACCACTATCACCACCACCACCATCATCACCATCATAATCACCACCATAATCACCATCACCACCATTATCACCATCACCATCATCACCATCATAGTCACCATCACCATCACCACCATAATCACCATCACCAGGACATCACCATCATCACCACCATTATCACCATCACCATCATCACCACCACCACCATCATCATCATCATTAACATATCACCATCACCACTGTCATCACCATCACCACTGTTACCACCATTGACACCACCACGACCATCATCAGCACCACCACATCACCATCACCATCATCACCATCATAGTCACCATCACCATCATTACCACCACTATCACCACCACCACCATCACCACCATTATCACCATCACCATCATCACCACCATAATCACCATCACCATCATCACCACCACCGTCATTACCACAACCACATCACTATCATTGCCATAATCCCCATCACCATAATCACCATCACCACCACTAACACCATCATCGTCACCACCATCACCATCATCACCATCG